TCCAGGGGACATTCAGGTCACCAGGGGACACTCAGATCCCCTGGTGGCGCTCAGTTCACCAGAAGCACACAGGTCACCAGATGCACTCGAGACATCCGGGAGAGCTAAGGAAACCATGCAGCATTCAAGACACCATGGCACATACAGGTCACCAGGGGCACCTGAGACCTCACAGCTTATATCCAGAATCAGTAGTGTTTCATGGTCAGTTTCTTGTGGAGCATCTTTATCATCATGTTCTGCAAAATTCATCCTGAACAGTAATCAGTACGAACGTTTTTTTTTTTTAAACATTTACAAACATAGATGACTTCTCATGTTAAGTGGGAAAGGTTATAACAGTCGTGCCTTCCTTGACAGAGACCAAGTGCTGTGATAAATCAGCTCATAGAATCAGACCATGGCATCTCTGCATTTACAAGGACACTAGATACCATTTAAAGAATATTTATTTATTTTGGGAAAGAAAGGCATAGCATTATCACGGGAGGGGCAGAAAGGAGGGTAAACACAGGATCCGAACCATGCTCCAGGCTCTGAGCTGTCAGCACAGAGCCCGATGCAGGGCTCAAAATCACAAACCACTAGATAATGACCTGAGCTGAGGTCAGACGCTTAACCCACTGAGCCACCCAGGCATCCGTGAATATCATTTTTAAATGTATAATATTCAAACAAAGAAGACTGACTCATATCAAGTGTTCTAAATTTAATTTATTTGAGCAACTTCTGTCTCTATTATCTTCTTTAAGGTTTTCCTTTGATGTCTATGAAGGAGGAAGACCATGAATAATGGCCCTGTGGTTGTCGAAACCTCACAGCATCTCCATGAGCTCCATGACACTCCCTCAAGCATATTCAGTATCTCCGTGCTCCTGTGAGAGAAAAGAGTTGTTTCTACACTTCACCGTTTTTGCTCTCCATCCAGGTCAGGAAGCCATAGACAACCAGTGGAGAGGCACCACTATCAATGTCTACACTGAATCTGGTCTTACACTATTGGTAGCCAGGGTTCCATTCTCCTGGAGTAGTTAGGAATCCTCCACTGAATCCACCTGTCGCTGCACCTGCCTCTCCCCACAACATGAGGCCCAGACCATCCTCACACTTAGCTAGAAATGAAGTCAGCTATATTAGAACAGATTTGGAATCTGTTTAGTAGGTTATTTTCAGCACAATGTTTTCAGTAGCAGTTGCACTCCCATCGAGAGCATTTCCAGGGTTACCTGTTCTTCACATCTTCACCAACACGTGATATGTTCTCATTGTGTTTGGTTTCACTTTATAATAGCCTTGATTACTGCTGAGAGGTGATATCTCAGTGGTTTGGACGTGGATTTCTCTGATGTTGAACATCGAGTCACGTGGTTGATGGACATTTGTCTGTCTTTTGTAGAGAAATGGATATTGACATGCTTAGCCCTAATATTAATCAGGGTATTCGTTTACTGTTATTGTTATATTTTTTATATTTTTGCTACTAACATTAAGGAGTCCTTTACATATTTTGGATATTAACAACTTTTCAATATTTTTTCATGTAATGTCTCCCATTTCATACACTGCCTTCCTTCTCTGCTAACATTTGCTCTGCACAGTTTCGAGTTTGATGTAGTCCCACTTGTCTATTTTTGTTTTGCGCCTGTGATTTTTCTTTTATATCAAATAAATAATTATCAAGTGAATGTCATAAGGTTTATCTTTTCTGTTTTCTTGTAATACCCTTAGGGTCAGGGGTTCTGCTAAATCTTTGATTCATTTTCAGTTTCTCTGTGTCTACGTGTATGTTTCATGTAAGATTATGGCAAAATGCCATTATTCCGCAAGTAGATATCAATACAATTTTAAGAAACACTATCTCAGTATAACACCCTCAAGTTCCATCCATGTTGCTACAAATGGCCAGATTTCATTCTTTCTCGTTGCCATGTAGTATTCAGGCAGAGAAGGACAGAAACCATATGTTTGCACGTATAGGTGGGTTAGGAGGAACTTAACGGAGGACCATGGGGGAGAAGAAGGGGAAAAATAGTTGGGGAGAGGGAGGGAGGAAAACCATGAGAGACTCTTGAATGCTGAGAACAAACTGAGGGCTGATGGGGGTGGGGGAGAGGGGAAAGGGGCTGATGGGCATGGAGGAGGGCACTTGTGGGGATGAGCACTGGGTGTTATATGGAAACCAACGTGACAATAAACTATTAAAAAAAAAAAAGAAACACTAACGTTTCCCCATTGTGCATTGTTTTTTTTAAACAGTTTTTTTTAATATCTTTTTATTTATTTCTAGAAGAGAGAGACACAACATGAGCAGGGGAGGGTCAGAGAGAGAGTGAAACACAGACTCTGAAATAGGCCTCAGGCTCTGAGCTGGCAGTCAGCACAGAGCCCGACGCGGGGCTCCAAACCATGAGCCGCGAGATCATGACCTAAGCGAAAGTCGGTCGCTTAACCGACTAAGCCACCCAGGCGCCCCTCCCTATTGTGTATTGTTGAAAATCCAGTGGAATATTTGCTGACTGCATCTACATGTTTTAATTCTGGGCTTTCTAATCTGCTCAACTTGTCTATATGTCTCACTGTATGACAGCAGAACACTGTTGTAGCTAATGTACCTTTGCAACATATTTAGAAAGAAAGAAGTGTGATATCTCCAGGTTCGCTCCTCTTCATGATTGTTTTTGTATTTCCATGTGTTCTGTGGCTCCATATAAATTAACATATTTTACAGAATCCTTTAATAAAGTCATTGGTATTTTTATTGACACAATTAACATAAAAAGATAAAGCAGAGAAAAATAAAGACTATTACAAATACACAAAAGAAGTCAACTACATTAAAACTTGTATTTGGGAAACAATATGAAATTTAAAAAGCATAGGTAGCCTAGAGAAATAGAGAAGACACAAACAAATACAATCATAACTGAAAAAGGAGTCATAACTGGACTAAAGACATGAAAAGGATCATAAAAGAAGAACTTAGATATTTATAGGCCAACAATTAGATCACCAAGAACAAATGACATATTTTCTAGAATTACGAAATCCACCATGACTTTCATAAAAACATACAAAATGAACAAAACAAAATTAATAAGAAGACCGAATCTTTGATCTAAAACCTTCGCCCTCAAATATAATAATAATAAGAAAGCCCAGAGTTTCATGGCTTTATTACCAATCCTACCAAAAAGGAATTTAAAGAGGAACTAATGACATTACTTCTCTAGCTATTACCAAGCACTGATGAAAAAGAACAATCCAAATGCATTTTATAAGGACTGCATTATTCTCACACCAAAGCTGACAACACCACAAGAAGGGAAATTACAGGCCAATATCTTAGATGAAAATACATGCAAAATACTTTGACAAAATCTGAACATACTGAATTCAGCAGTACATTGAAGGGGCCATACATGATAACCTAGTGTGATTCATCCCTGAGTTGCAAGGATCCTTCACATACACAAATGTATAAAGGTGATGCCCTACATTAATAGAGAGAATGATTGAATCTACACCATCCTCACTGGCATAAAAACTTTTATCATTTAAAAACAACTCATAAAAAATGAACAGAAGGAAATCACCTTCACATAATCACGGCCATTATGAAAAGCCCACACCCGGCACCATAGTCAACAGTCAACTACTGAAGTCTTTACTGTCAAGTCTGGAGTCAAGCAAGGATGATCATGCCCAGAATAAGTATTCAACGTGGTAGCACGAAGGAGAATATGCCACCCCAAAATATGCCATCTCGTCACATTGCTTATTTGGATGAAAGTCCTTTGGGAAATAGCCAGTGCAAGGACACTTTGACACTCCTTTCCCCCCTGAGAGCAGGAAACAAATCTCCCTCAGGAAAGCTCCCGTCCCTGTGCCGTAGGAAAGAACCATTCTTAGCACTGGAATAGGAATTTTAGGGCCAAGAAGGTTGTGCAAAGAAACCTTATTACCTGCTGACTAATTACTACCCAAAAACCACACTATTGCTTTAATTCTTTACAAATTCAGTTTTTTTGTTGTCTGAAAGTCACAAATGAAGCCTACTTTGTTCATTCCCTGGATGTCATATAATTAAGAAGCTCATGCACATATAAAAAGAAATTGATTCTGTCCTGTAGATGTCTTATGTCAATTGAATTATTAGAACAGGTTAAAAACCACGAAGCAAAGAAGAAAAAATCTTCCTCTACTACAACTGGCAGATGTCCCAGAAAAATCAGGCATAAAAAAGAAATAAAAGGCATTTACATCAGTTAGAAGGAAGAAAAGTTATTTGCTTCCAGAATACATGACCTTAAACATTGTAGAACCCTAGCTATGCCACAACAAATATCAGAACTACATTTTAAAATGAGAAAAAGTTTAGAATACAAAATAAACAAAAAAAAAACCCTGTGATTATACACATCAGTATAAATTTTATGCAAAGAAATAACAAAATTATACCATTCAAAATGGTATATAATAACGTATTTTGGATTAAACCTCAAAAAGCATGTAAAATACGTGTATTCTCAAAATTACCCATGTTGATGAAACACTTTTCAAATTACACACATGCTTGCAAATATAACTATGCTCACAGATTAGCATTCTTCATACTGTCACAGTGCCATCTACACAGAGTGATCTAAATGTGACTCTCTAACCATGTTTTTAAATTTTACAGAATCAAATATAAGTCTGGAACTTTATATATACTTAGAATACATGCAAATGGGGCCCTGCATTTTCTTATTAAAACATTCCATCCCTGACCCTGCAGCTGGGAGAGGAGCCCAGACCCAGGATTCCCAGGTGTCCCCATTGGGTGACAAGAGAGAACACAGGCATCTCACCATGGAGTTTGTGCTTGGCTGGGTTTTCCTTGCTGCTGTTTTAAAAGGTAATTCGTAGTGAACAAGAGACACTGAGTGTATAAGTGGATATAAATGAGAGAAATGGTGGATGTGTGACAGTTTCCTGACCAGCATGTCTTGTGTCTGCAGGTGTCCAGTGTGAGGTGCAACTGGTGGAGTCTGGGGGAGGCCTGGTGAAGCCCGGAGGGTCCCTGACACTCTCCTGTGCAGCCTCTGGATTCACCTTCAGTAGCTATGCCATGAGCTGGGTCCGCCAGGCTCCAGGGAAGGGGCTGGAGTGGGTTGCATACATTTATAGTAGTGGAAGTAGCACAAGCTACGCAGACTCCATGAAGGGCCGATTCACCATCTCCAGAGACAACGCCAAGAACACACTGTATCTGCAGATGAACAACCTGAGAGTCGAAGACACAGCCACGTATTTCTGTGCGAAGGACACAGTGAGGGGCCATCAGTGTGAGCCCAGAGAGAAACCTCCCTGTAAAAGGGGATCAGCACCACCATGGGGCACACACTATGCACAGTTCTGGTTTATTTTCCCAGGAGCAGGTGCACATGGAGGTCACAGGCAGGTTTCCTGTCAGGGTCTGGGGTTTCATCTCCATTCAGCAGGTTCCCCCAGGGAGCATCTCTGGACACATGATTCTGTGCTTACCTATTCACTCTCTGTATTAGAAACTGTTGTTCTAAGAAAACTACTTAACATGCACAAAATACACAGTTGCTTGCAGTTGCTCACTCCTGTTTCTAAATATGAATGAATTATATGTACCCTGAGGCACATCAACTGAACTTTTACAGGCGTCCCGGATTCACTGACTTTGCAGGTAAAACCACAGGATCCCATAGCTCCTCATTATCCTCACCCAGCTCTTGTCCCAAGAACATGGCACTTCCTTCATGGCCCTTTGATGCTCAGGACTTTAAATGAGTTTCAGCTTTGTTTAAACTACAATAGCTTCTCCATATATTAGTCAATATTCTCCTGAGGCACGGAATACATAGCACATTGGATTACATGACTCTATAGTCTAAGAAGTCCCATGATCTGCAATCATAAATAAGCTGGAATAACAGGAAAATCAATGGTACAATTATTGTCTGATTCTGAACTAGTGTCTAGTCTGACACATGGAGACCTGATGGTGTATCTCTCAGTCCAAGGGTAGGAGGAGATCAATGTCCCAGCCCAGGCATGCACACAAGAAGTAAAAATGAGCTTAAGTCTTCATCCCTCTACATTTAATTCTATTCATAGTCTCAATGGAATAGATGATGCCCACTTAAGCAGAAACCATGGATGGAAATGTCATTCTCTTATGGAAACACACTCAGACATCCACAGAAACAATGGTTAATCTGGGCAGCCATGACCCAGTCAAAATGACACATAAAGTTAATAAGGACAACTCAACCTCCCATAAATGTGGATCTCAAAGACTGAAGATTTAGACGTCCATGGCATCACTGGGTGTAGCCTGGTGGGCGTCGTGGTGCTCCTGTGAAGAGGTGGGCAGAGGCCTGTGAGTGCACAGTGGTCTGAGATTCTCTGGGTCGCAGGGAGGGAGGCAGGCCCCTTCCTGTAGTGCATTTGGGAAGAGTCGCACTGACTCTCACGGGAGAGGAGAGCCTGCACATGCCTTGCGCCGCCTGGTTCTTTGCACGGGAGCCTCTGCTGAGGGCAGCTACCTGACTGACAGCTTTTTGCTGTTCTTCCCTATGAACGCCAAGCCCCCTGGTGTTCATGCAGCTGCCCTTCTGGGACAATCCCGCATCGACCGCAGTGCCACAATACCCACCCCTGCGGATAAGAGGGCACATGCCACTGTGCTTCCCTACAGTGGTTGTTTTCACACCCAGCTAAGTCTCCTGAGAGAAAATGCAGGAACGCCATGCCACCAGATGGACAGATGCTTAAGACACATACAAGGTGAGTTTAGGGCGCTGACAGAGGCTTGGGGCTCATGAAAGATTGTTCTCTCTTCACTGAAAACTTCCTGAACGGGGTCAATGGGAAATCCCTCTCCAAGAATGAAACAATGGGCTGCTGCTAATACTTTCCCCGACCAACAGCACGGACAGACGTCACTGAGTAGCACAGAGCCTACTAGTGGAATCTTGAGCTTCTAACATCAAACCCCTGAACCCTACTCTCCTCAGGTGCTTCATTATTAGGTTAGGTGTGACTGAAAACCAAATCAGCACTGGACGTCTTCCCCAGAAGACCAGCACAAACTCCCACACTCACCAAGTCTACTAACCATAGAATACATCATAGATTCAGCACTAGGGGAAATAGGATCTAGCCTTTTTTTTTACATTTATTTTATTTTTGAGTGAGTGAGAGAGAGAGAGAGCGACAAAGTGTGAACAGGGGAGGGGCAGAGAGAAGGAGACACAGAATTCAAATCAGGATCCATGCTCTGACCTGGAGCACAGAGCCTGATGTGGGATTCTAACTCACAAACCACAAGATCATGACCTGAGCGAAAATCAGACACTAACTGAATGAGACACCCAGGTACTCAAGGATCCAGTCTCTTTGGTGGCCAACACACACGAAGTTAAAACTCACCACACAGGGGACAAGGTCCAAACACTCGTCACTGTGGGCAAGATGAAACTCTGCAGAGGAATGGCCTGAGGGAAAGGGCAGCCAACACATAACAGTACAGTGTACACAGCACACACAAGATATGTTTTCTGAAGAGTCAGCACCTGGAGAGTATATGACCTCTTCTTAATAAACCACCATTCTAGAAGCAGAAAACATAACAGGGTTTTCTAAAACACAGAATAAGGCAAAAACATCAACATATGTCAGCATGGAGGGCTTCATCTCAAAGGAAAAAAAACATTAAAGCTCATTGCCAGGGATTTAAACACAAGACATATAAGTAGTATGCCTGAAACCCATAGATCTTCTTGAAAACAGCATAGAAGATATGAGGGATACTTTAACTGCAGATAGAAAATATTTAATAATTAGGATGGAATTGAAAAAATACTGAACCAAGAATCAAAAATGACTGTAAATAAGAACATCGGGGATGGAAGAGTCAAAGGAACAAATAAGTGATATAGAAGATTAAATTAGGGGAATAATGAAGCAGGAAAGTAGAGGAAAATTGAAATATTGTATCACAAATGTAGACTTAGTGAAGTAAGCAACTCCATAAAGTGTAGGAACATTCTTTTCAAATGAGTCCCAAAGAAATTTGGATAAAGAAGGAGCATAAGGTTTATCTGAGCGGATTATAGTAGAAAAATTTCCCAAACTGGGGAAGGAAATGGACGTCCACACCCAGGAGTCCTTCCATCAAAACCACCAAAAGCAGGCCAACATGGAGATATCTTCATAAGAAATTTGGCAAAATATACAGGTAAAGAAAAAAATCCACCTATACGTGCAAACATATGATATTTGTCCTTCTCTGCCTGACTTTTTTCGCTCAGCATAACACACTCAAGTTCCATCCAGGTTGCTACAATGGTTAGATTTCATTCTTTCTCATTGCCATGTAGTATTCCATGGTATAGATAAACCACATCTTTTTGATCCATTCATCCATTGATGGACACTTAGGCTCTTTCCAGGTTTTGGCTATTGTTGAGAGTGCTGCTATGAACGTTGGGGTACATGTACTCCTATGCATCAGCATTTCTATATCCCTTGGTTAAATTCCTAGCAGTGCTATTGCTGAGTCATAGGGGAGTTGTATTGTTAATTTTTTGAGGAACCTCCACACTGTTTTCCAGAGGGGCTGCATCAGTTTACATTCCCACCAACAGTGCAGGAGGGTGCCCGTTTCTCCACATCCTCGCCAGCATCTAGAGTCCTTTGATTTGCTCATTTTAGCCATCCTGACCGGCATGAGGTAGTGTCTCAGTGTGGTTTTGACCTGTATTTCCCTGATGAGGAGGGATGCTGAACATCGTTTCATGTGTCTGTTGGCCGTCTGGATGTCCTCTTTGGAGAAGTGTCTGTTCATATCTTCTGCCCATTTCTTCACTGGATTTTTTGGGTTTTTTTGGGTGTGGAGTTTGATGAGTTCCTTATAGATTCTGGATACTAGCCCTTTTTCTGATATGTAATTTACAACGATCTTTTCCCATTCCATCAGTTGCCTATTAGTTTTATGTATTGTTTCCTTTGCAGTGTAGAAGCTTTTAATCTTGATGAAATCCCAATAGTTCATTTTTGCTCCTGATTCTCTTGACATTGGGGATGTGTCAAGTAAAAATTGCTGCGGTTGAGGTCAAGGAGGTTGTTTCCTGATTTCTCCTCTAGAGTTGTGGTGGTTTCATGTCTCACGTTCAGGTCCTTTATCCATTTTGAGTTTATTTTTGTGTATGGTGTGAGAAAATGATCTCGACCAATATTTACAGAAAAATTAACACGAATATATCTCCAACTACTACAAAACACTGATGAAAAAGAACATTCCAAAATGCATTTGTTGAGAAAAGCATTACTTTTACATCAACGCCAAAGAAAGACACCACAAGAAGGGGAAATACAGGCCAATATCCCAGAATAACATACATACAAAATTCCTTGATAAATTTCGAGCATATTGAATACAACAGCACATTGATAGGATTATACATGATAATCCACTGTGATCCATCCCTGAAAAGCAAGGATTCTTCAACATGTACAAATGTATAAATCTGATGCTCTACATTAACAGAGAGAATAATTGAATCTATATCATCATTAATTGATTCGTAACCGTTAGACAAAATTCAACGCGTGTTCAACATTTTAAAAAAGCTCTGTTAAAAAGGAACAGAAGGAAATTACCTCAACTTCACCGTGGCCATTATGAAAGGCCCATACTTGACAGAATATTTAACAGTTAACTACTGAAGCCTACTTGTCACATCAGAAGGCAGGCAATGTGATCTCCCGCAACATAAGTATTCACATAAAAATGTGAAGAATAAATATGCCACTTCAAATTATCATCTTGTCATTTTGCTTGTTTGAATGAGAGTCACTTAAAAAATAGTCACTTCCGAGGACACTTGGACCCTCACCTGTCCCCTGACAACAGGAAATAAATCTCCCTTGAGAAAGCTTCCTTCTCAGTCCCAGGAGGGGAGAACCACCCTTAGCACCAGAACAGGGGACTTAGGGACAAGAAGGCTGTCCAAATGAACCTAGTTACTTGGTGACTAATTTAATACTCCAAAACCATACCTTTGCTTTGATTCCTTACAAATCCAATGTTTTGTTGTCTGAAAGCCACAAAGGCCACCTGCTTTGTTCAGTCTCTGGGTGTCGTATTATTAGGAAGCGCATGTACTCGCAAAATGAAATTTATTCTCTCCTGTAGATCTCTCTTATGTCAATTGAATCCTTAGACTGGGTGAACACCCAGAAGCAAAGAAAAGAAAATCTTTCTGCTCCTACAACTGGAAGATGTACCCAGAAAAACTAGGCAATAAATAGAAATAAAAGACATTTAAATCAGTAAGAAGAAAGAAAAATTACCTGTTTGCAAAGGACATGATCTTAAACATAACAAAACACTAGAGATACCACAAAAAATATTAGAACCAATTTCGAAGAATGAGGGAAAACTGCAGGATAGAAAATAAAAAGCAACAAAAAGAGCTATGATTCCACAAACCAGTTTGAAAATATATACAAAAGAAATACCAAAATTATACAATTTAAATGGCGCAGAATAAAGTGTTTTGGACTAAACTTCAAAAAGAATATAAAATGCTTGTAGAGTGAAAATGACCTATGTTGATGAAAACATGTAAAAACACACACATACCAGCAAATGTAAGAATTCAGAGATAAGAGGGGCGCCTGGGTGGCTTAGTCGGTTAAGCGTTCGACTTTCGCTTAGGTCATGATCTTGCGGTTTGTGGGTTCGAGCCCCGCGTCGGGCTCTGTGCTGACTGCCAGCTCAGAGCTTGGAGCCTGTTTCAGTCTGTGACTCCCTCTCTCTCTGACCCTCCCCTGCTCACGCTGTCTCTCTCTCTCTCCTAGAAATGAATAAAACATTAAAAAAATTTTTTTAAGCTATAAAAAAAAAAAGAATTCAGAGATAAGAATTTTAAATACTGTCAAAGTACCGTCTACACAGTGGCCTAGAAGTGCCTCCTTAACCCTGTCATTTACTTTTAAAGAATCAAATCTAAGCCTGGAGATTGATATATAGACAGAGGATATGCAAATAGGGCGCTGCCTGTGCTGATTAAACCGGCCCAGCCCCAACCCTGCAGCTGGGAGAGGAGCCCCAGCCCTGGGAGTCCCAGGTTTTCCCACTGTGTGATCAGGACAGAACACAGACATCTCACCATGGAGATTGTGCTTGGCTGGGCTTTCCTTGTTGCTCTTTTAAAAGGTAATTCAAGGTGAACTAGAGACACTGAGTGTGTGAATGGATATGAGTGTGAGAAACACTAGATGTGTGACAGTTTCCTGACCAGGATGTCTTTGTGTCTGCAGGTGTCCAGTGTGAAGTGCAGCTGGTGGAGTCTGGGGGAGGCCTGGTGAAGCCTGGAGGGTCCCTGAGACTCTCCTGTGCAGCCTCCGGATTCACCTTCAGCAACTTCTACATGAGCTGGGTCCGCCAGGCTCCAGGGAAGGGGCTGGAGTGGGTTGCATATATTAATACTGGTGGAAGTAGCACATGCTATGCAGACTCCGTGAAGGGCCAATTCACCATCTCCAGAGACAACGCCAAGAACACAGTGGATCTACAGATGAGCAACCTAAGAGTCGAGGACACGGGCACGTATTTCTGTGTGACAGACACAGTGAGGGCTGTCAGTGTGAACCCAGACACAAACCTCCCTGTAGAAGGGGATCAAGACCACCAGGAGGCGCACACTCTGCACAATTCTGGTTTGTATTCCCTGGAGCTGGTGCAGATGGAGGTTAAGGGCAGGTTTCCTGTCAGTGTCTGGGGCTTCCTTTCCACACAGCAGTTTCCCCCAGGTAGCCTCTCTGGACACGCGATTCTGTGCTTACCTATTCACTCTCTGTATTAGAAATTTTGTTGTCATAGGAAAACTACACTAACGTGCACAATGGACACAGTTGATTGCAATTGCTTCCTCCGATCCCTAAATATGTTTGAATTACAGGTATCCTGAGGCACATGAGCTGAACCTTTACAGGATCCCAGATGCACCGACTGTGCAGCTAGGACCACGGATCCCACAGGTCCTCATTTTCCTCATCCAGCTCTGGTCCCAGTCAAACAACAGCACACTTCCTTCATGGCACTTTGCTACTCAGGACTTTGAATGGCTTACAGCTTTATTCAATTACTCTAAACAAGAAATAAATCATCTCTTATAGAATAGAACCCTAAGAACATTGGTTTACATGATTACATAGGCTGAGAAGTCCATGATCTACAATCACAAGCTGGAGACCCAGGAAAACCAGTGTAATTCTCGTCTCATTCTGAACTAGTGTCTAGTCTGAGAACATGGGGACTGCGTGATGTAACTCTCAGAACAGGGTGGGAGGAGACCTATGTTCCAGCTCAAACATGCACGTGGGAAGTAGAAATGAGGGAATTCTTCCTCCATCTGCATTGGATTCTATTCAGAACGTTAATGGAGTGGGTGATGCCCGTGCAGACAGAAACCACGGATGGAAATGCCAATCTCTTCTCAAAACACATCACTGACATCCACAGAAACAATGGTTAATCAGGGTAGCCAAGACGCAGTCAAGATGACACAGAAAGTTAACCATGACAAGTCAATCTCCTGTATTCGTGGATTTAAAGGACTGAAGACCCAGAAGCCCCTGCCATCGCTGGGTGGAGTCAGGTGGGTATATCAGTGCCTTTGTGGAAAAGGAGGACAGAGGCCCATAGAAAGTACTGAGGTCTGAGGATCACCTGAATCACATGGGAAGAGACAGTCCCTTCCTGGAGTGCATCTGGGAGAGGTGGCACCGCCTCTCATCAGCAGGAGAGCTGACAGGCACCACCGCACTGCCCTGTTCACTAGCATAGGAGCCCCTGCTGAGAGCAGCTCACTGGATGCTGGCTTCGTGTTGTCTGTCATTATGTCCTCCAAGCCCCCAGGTGTTCGTGCAACTGCTCTCCTGGGACAAACCAGTTCCAGCCACAGCACAAGACCCTCTTCCAGAGGTTAAGTGGGGGTCCCTGTCATATTGAGCTCATACAACATGGAGTTTTCAAACCCAGATAGAGCTCCTGACATAAACATAAAGTTGCTGGGGCGCCTGGGTGGCTTAGTCGGTTAAGCGTCCGACTTTCGCTCAGGTCATGATCTCGCGGTTCGTGGGTTCGAGCCCCGCATCGGGCTCTGTGCTGACTGCCAGCTCAGAGCCTGGAGCCTGTTTCCGTCTGTGACTCCCTCTCTCTCTG